CGGCAGCGCGGCCCCGCACTTGACTTTCGGGGCCCACCCTTGCCACTGCGGCCGCAGCACCGCCGCATCCGCAGCAGCACCCGCAGCAGCCATGAACGACCTGCTGTTCGCCGTCAAGGGCCCCAGCCCCAACGGCGCCGGCCCCAGCGGCGGCCCCGGCGGGCAGCGCCCGGGCGGCGGGCCGGGCCTCGGATATGATGTGGAAGCCGGGTACTCGGCGGCGCAGAGCGAGCGCGGCAAGGAGATGGACGAGTTCTTTGCCAAGGTCGAGGAGATCAAGGGCGACATGCAGGAGATCAAGGGGCGGCAGCGGGATATACGCGCGATGCACGAGCGCAGCAAAACGATCGTCCGACAGAAGGAGATGCAGCGGCACAGAGAGGAGATGCAGGTGCGGATCGAGGACCGCGCGCCAGGCCGTGGCTGCTTCTCTCAGCGAACGAAAAAGTCGGAGGGGACGAGGTGGGACGCCGCATGCGTCTGTCGCACGACCCGCGCCTTCCCTCGGGCCGTCAGAACGGCGTGCGCGCAGCTCGCCGCTGTCTGGCCTGCCAACCCTTGCACCTCTGCGCCTTTCGCAGGCCGTCATCAACGAGGTCAACGTGCTGGCTCATAAGGTCAAGTCAAAGGTAATGATGGGTGTGTGGTGTGATGAGAAGGCCCGCGGCGGGGGCGAGGGGGGGGGAGCCGCCCAACTTGCACGAGTAGGGCGGTGGCGCAGAGGTTGAGCTCTTCAGCATGGGCAGGGGGCCCTGCGCAGCGGCAGCCGCTTTGAAAGTAGGCGGATGTCCTGCGTACGGCTGAGCTCTGCAATTCGCACAATTCTGCGAGGTGTCGACGCGCCATCTGGAGCGAGCAGTTGCTCCTCAGTGCATTGCATTGCCCTTGCCGCCTCCGCCACACCCCAAGCCACGCACACGAACACCCCCCGCCACCCACCCACACGTACACACACCCAAAACTGCACATACGTGTACAGTCGCTCTCTGCGCACTACTCACACACATACAAACACACACACACACACACACACACACACACACACACACACACACACGCACACACACACACACTCACATTGCAACTCGCGTCCACCGCCCTGCCCCAGGTCGAGGCCCTGGACCGCCTGAACGAGCAGGCGCTGACAAAGAAGGGGCAGGGCCTGGGCAGCGCGTCCGAGCGCACGCGCACGTCCATCACCGCGGGGCTCAAGCGCAAGCTGAAGGACCTCATGGGGGAGTTCAGCGAGCTGCGGGCAAAGGCGAGCGCATGGGGGGCGCGGGCCAGGTGGCGCCGGCGAGCGGGCGCGGGCGCGACTGGGGCCGCGCGCGCGCCTGAAGCGGGGCTGGGCGCGGCGCTGGCGTGGGTGCCGCCACGGCGTACCAATCGGAGACACGGCGCCATGGCTCCTTGGCTGCACACAATGCACAAGGGCCTGTAGCGCCATGCATCCCATCGCTGCTCCTGCCTGTGCCTCCCTGCCCAGCGGCCCCAAGCGATCCCCTCGTACATGCTTGCCTTTCAACCCCCACAGATCCAGGATGAGTACCGGGAGGTGGTGGAGCGGCGGGTGTACACGGTCACGGGGCAGCACATGCCTGAGGAGGACATCGAGCGCATGATAGAGACTGGTGAGCCGGGGTCGGAAGTGGGACGGGCGGGCGGGCCGTGGCGGGGTCAAGAACAAGCTGCGGTGAGGCGGGTTCGGTGGCGGGGCGCAAGTGTACAGCGGTGGTGCGGTGGCCGACTGTCGAAGCGTGTGGTCTGTTGAGCTCTTGCCGCTCAAGCGGTCCGTGCTTGGTGGGTGGTGCTGACGTCGCCCGTATCGACCAACCTGCATGTCGCTGATATGGGCCTGCGCCGCACCCCGACTCGAAAAAGTGCAGCGCCCCCTCTGACCGCACATCCGCACCACCCACCCCCATGTGACCTTGCCAGGCGAGGCTGAGACGATCTTCCAAAAGGCCATCCTGGAGCAGGGCCGCGGCCGCGTGCTGGACACGCTGGCGGAGATCCAGGAGAGGCACAGGTGAGGGCGCCACAGGAGCGGCCGCGCGTTGGTGGGCCCGGCGTGTGGCGGGCAGCAGGGCGGCGGGGCGGCGGGGCCGACCCTTGACAGTGGCTTTCAGGCGGTGCTGGGCACACATGTGATGGGTCATGATCTGTACGGGCGGGCCTTCTGTGAGATTCGCGCGCGGGCTGCAGGCTGAGTGTCCCGCAGCACCCCTTGCCCGCAACCTCGTGCCAGAACCACCTCGTCACGTTAGCACCCACCCTTTCTGCTGTCCACACTCGCCTGTCCCCCCTCCCCCAAAACAACCACCCTCACCACCCCCACCGCCGCAGGGCTGTGAAGGACCTGGAGCAGAGCCTGCTGGAGCTGCACCAGATATTCCTGGACATGGCAGTGCTGGTGGAGGCGCAGGGGGAGATGCTGGACAACATCGAGAAGCAGGTGCGGGGGGGGGGGGCGCCCGGGCTCGCGCGAGGCCGAGAGGACCGTTTTGCGTGGTTTGTCGATCGCATGTAGGCGGCGTTGATCGCAGACTGGGCAGGGTGCTGACGCTGTCGGCGTCAAAACTATCGCTGAGGACGCCGCAGCCCTCCTCCTAAGGCCGGCCGTCATTTGGCATGGGCGCGTGCCCCGCGCTTCCTGTCCCAATGCTGACGCGCCGCCTCTCCCGCGCGCGGCCCTGTGGCGCCCCTTAGGTGTCGCGCAGCGTGGAGTACGTGCAGTCCGGCACCAGCGCTCTGCAGGACGCGAAGCAGCTGCAGAAGAGCACGCGCAAGTGGATGTGCTGCGGCATCATCACGCTGCTCATCGTGGCCGTCGTGATCGTGCTCGTCGTCGTGAAGCCGTGGCAGTTTGCGTCCACCTCGCAGGGCGGCGGGAGCAGCTCGGCGCCAGCGCCGGCGCCGGCGCCCTCAGGATGACGTGCTATTTTGGCGCGCACGCGCTGGATGTTTGCGACATTGGCCGCAGCCCGCGCAGAGCTGGGCAAGGCAGGTTGCTCCTGGCTGCCTGGATTGGGCATGGGTGGCTTTGGGGCGTCCACGCACGGCTGCGCCGCAAGTCGTGCAGCATCTCTTGCTTTGGGTTTTTATTTGCTTTCGCCCCTCGCTGTCATCCCTCCAAATTTCGGCAACATGCACTCATGCACTGCCTGCGCAGGCGCCGCACGGTTAGAATGGCACTGCATCGCGGTCACAGGTCCTGGCTTTACTTTGACCATCGGCAAACCACTGCGACTCTACGCCATAGAAAATTCACACCTGTCTGTGCTCAGTAACATGATTGATTGATGGTGCAGAACTATTACTATGCAGGTGCTGCAAACATCCGTCAAGCCTGAAAACAACTCAGCATGCATCTGCACCGTGCGCTGCTGAGCAGCATCGCGCAGCGCCGGCATCAGACTCCTTGCATCCGCGCCACAGGGGTAGCAAGCTCGGGCCCACCGTCACCGGCAGCAAGCGTTCGCGGCGCGGACAGCGCTCTGTCCTTGAAATCGCCCCCGCCGGTGGCCGCCGCCGCCGGCCGGCCCTCGCGGCCGGCCTGCAAGGCGATGAGACCCGCCCTGGCCTGCGCCGCCTCGTGCTGTGCCAATATCGCGTTCATCGCGTAGATCTCCAGCCGCCGCCTCTCCTTGTGACTCATCGCTGCTGACCCAATCGCAGGCGGCCGCAACCCGCCTCCGCTGCAGCAGCCGCTGGCGCCGCCGCTGCTGCTGCTGCTGCTGCTGGCGCCGCAGCTGGTGGACGCGACTGGATGCCGCGCCGGCGAGCTGGGCGCTGGCTGCCGCTTCGGCGATGTCACATTGGGCGCGGTGGCGCGGTGCTTCGGGCTCTTGGCCGGTGAGAGCGGGGGAGACGGCTGCTTTTGTTGGCACGCCACATCCGTACCGAGGACTGCTTCGGCTTTTTGCCTTGCAGCGGCGCTGCTGGCGGGTGCCACCGCATGCGCCGGCATGGTTGCTGCTGCGGCTGCTTTGGTTACCTTGGTTAACGGTGCCCTGGCAGGTGCTGCCTTGTTCAGCTGTGACCTCCCCAAAGACGTTGGGCATGATGCTCTGAATTCTGAAGGAAGGCGGCTGCGGCCTGGTGGCGAGCCGACTTGCAAGTTCAGGCTGCCCGCAGCCCGCGGCGTGCGCTCTTCTAGGGCGGCAGCATCGGCGCCGCCACACGTGGCAGCCGACTTGACGCATTCGCTACTGACACCACATGCAATGCCTGATTTTCTCCCCCGGGTTGGCGGAGAGCTGCTGGCGCTGCGCTGCATCGACTCGAGTTTGGCGCTTATGCCACATGCATTCCCGCTGCCACCGCTGCTGCTGCCTGCGAGCCGTGCACCCCGGGAGACGTGCAGCTAAGAGTGCGGGCCCTGCGATCTCGTACATACATAAGTTTTCTGTGTTATTACCCACGCAATCGCCGCGATAGGCTTGCCTGCACGACACCGCAGCAGCCGGAACGTGTACAAAGACTCGCCCAGACAACCAAAAAACGCGATTTATGTTTATGCCAAAACAGCGCGCAAAATTGGGCTCTTCAAGTGTCGCGGGTCCACCCGAGAGGCACTGCCAAGTTGACCGACTTCTGACCGCGCCTGGGGGGCACTGTCCTTTCGGTCGCACGCAGTGCATGTGAGATGACCTCCAGGAGGATGGATGTGGGATCTCGTGTGTGAAGCCAATCGTTCAGGGTAATGTAGCGACAGACAGGCGTGTTCATAAGACTACCACGGCACCGATCGCATGAGTTTTGCTTGAAGGGAAGCGCGCACAGCAGGGCACAGTAAATGGACGTGCTGTGATAAACATGACACAATCCAACTTTACAAGGATTTTAATACCTCCCTTGCTGTATTCGTCATTCAGGATCCCTTTTTCTGGGGGCTTGCAGGATTGGGCGCTGCTGGCATGCAGGATCAAATCTGCACATCGTCTTCACCAGGCCTCGCTAGTAGCACTGATGCGCAAGCCCCATAAAAATACCCTGGCGTAACCTGTGAGCCTCTTCGCACACTTAACCAGGTCAATTTATCACCTGGTTTGGGGGGACAGCTGCGCTTGTACCCAACTCTGACAATACAAGAGAATATGCTCATGCGCATGTCGGCCTCAGGTACCGCAGGGTGAGGGATGCAAAAGCAGGCCCAGACCCCAACGACCGGAGGGCCGTGGTCCTCTTGATATTTATACAAACACATATCCCTGGAAGCCGCTTTGCACACGCTCGTTGCCGCCTGCCCGCCATGCGCGACTTGCCCAGCAGCTGCCGTGCTGCCTCGATCGGATCAAACTTCGAGGCGTACGCGTCTGACACTGGCGCCGGCCGCACTTGAGGCAGGTGAGCGCCACTGATATGAAAAATTGGGTCTGTAAATAAGCCGATTAAGGCCGCTGGAGGCCCGCACCCGATGACGGTCTGGTCAACCCGGCCCAAGTTCCCCAAGTCACTGAGCGCAATAAATGGGACGCACTCCCATTATTTTCCGCACTTCACATATTAATTGACACGCTCTACGCAGAGTCTTGGTCGCAATCTACACAAAATGAAGTCCCATCAAATTACCGCCACGCTTTACGCGCTGTGCTTGCTCGCCCTCTGCAATCAAGCCGCTTCCTTAGATTTTACAGGCGGTCAAGCAACCTGGTGAGGGGCCCTGTCGCTTGTGGTGCTATGTTTGAGCCGCCGCCCCTGCTGCACAACCATGAACTTCTCGAGTCTGACGCACATCGCTCGATCCACATCGCTCTCCACCCCGTACCACCTTGCCTTGCACCGGCGTGGCGCTCAGGTACCCCTCCATCTACCAGTGAGTGGACTTGATATGGGTTCCCATTGTGCCTGCGGTGGGGCGGGACATTGGTGCGCAGGCCGCTTACAAACAGTCCCAACCACCCCTGACCCCTTTCGCAGAGGTTCGTGCGGCTACTTTGCTAATGTCCCTCAGTTCATAGGTGAGCAAGCGCGGGGATGCAGGGGGCTGCTGGTCTCATCTATGTGCAGGCAGCAGCATGCATGCACGTTGCAGAGCCAAAAACTGGCTCGCTGCTGACTGTAGCTTCAGCACGCATGCATGCCCAGCGAGTATCTCAACTCATGGCGCACGCCAAGTGCCCCTGGCCCTTTACTAACTGGCCCTTATCCACCATGAATTCCCTCCCAATCCCTCTCAACCACTCCCTTTCTGCACCCCAGCCGCCTGGCCGGATGTCCAAGAGGGCTATAGCGGGATCTGCGGCCGCTGCTTCGCAGTGGAGTGCCGACCTGCCATTGTAAAAAATGCGCCTGGCCCCTGGCTGCCCATCGAGCTGCCGCGCACCACTGTCTGCAAGCCCGACATCGAGGTGGTGGTCAAGATCACGGGTGGGTCCAGGACTTGCCAGCGAGCGTTCAGCAATCTGGCTGCTGGCTGCGTGCCTGCGGCAGTCCTTGCATTGCCAACGCAGGTGCCTTGCAGCATTGAGCCGGGCGCCGTCCACAGCGCGCGCCGCAGGTGATCGCCCAGCCTCAGTCGCAGAACCTTGACTGACGCGTCGTCCCCGAACGAAACACAACCCCACACCCACCCAGACACCTGCCCTTGCAAGGGCAACGAGCAGTGGTGCTGCAACAACCCCGGGCCCCACCTTGACCTGAGCAACTATGCGTTCGCCGCGGTGAGCTCCTCGGCTTCCTTGCAGGATCTGGATGTTGACAGTCAGCATGCACGCATGGATTCACAAGCTGTGTCCCGCCGAGGCTCAACCGCACAAGTGCTGTTCAGCTGTCAAGCAGTCCCAATCAAGAGCGGCATACCAATCAGCCGCTCCTTATCACCTGCTGACGAGGAGTCGCCTGCCGACTCGTTTGATTAAAGCAAACCTGCCGACACACATGCCTGTCACAACAACACCTCATCCGTCCAACTCACATCGAGCCCGCAGCTAGTGCAAAATGGTGACATCGGCCAGGGCATCATCGGCATCAACTTCAGGTGAGGGCGCTTGAATGTGATTCCACCCTCAGCGGCAGTAGTAGTCGGTGTGCACACGTTTCGTCACACGCCTCTTGAACCCCACCTTTTGCGAAAGCAGCCTGACATGCTTCTTACACTTACCCGACTTCACCATGAGCAGCGCACTGATTCAGCTGGTGTGGATCTCAAGGGCTGCCTCATCAGCGTGTACCTGTTGCTGCCTGCTGTCCCCCGCGCATCTCTGCTTAGTCAGACCCTTCACTCGCCCCTTGATTGCCCCACGTTCTGCAAAACCTCCGCTCCACAAACCCCAAAATTTTTGACTGTGTGCAGGGAGGTCACATGCGACCAGGTTGGGGTCCTTCCAAAGGGTGCGGCCCGCGGCATCGGCGGCGGCGCCAACGGGCAGAGCTTCTCCACCACGCAGGCCCCTGCCGCTCCTGTGTCGCAACAGCCTGAGGCCCAGCCGGCAGCCCAGCCGGCACCCCAGCCGGCGACCCAGCCGGCGGCGGCGGCGCAGCCCGCCCAGCAGCCGGAGCCCGAGCCAGCCCCCCAGTCAACGCCGCCTGTTCAGCAGCCCAAGCCCGAGCCGGCTCCCCAATCGCCACCTGTTCAGCAGCCTGAGCCTCAGCCTCAGCCCCAGTCATCACCTGCCCAGCAGCCCGAGCCTCAGCCAGCACCCCAATCGCCTGCCCAGCAGCCCGAGCCTCAGCCGGCACCCCAGTCGCCGCCAGCCCAGCAGCAGGCGGCACCAGCTTTGCCGCAGTCCAGCACTCCATTGCCCAAGTTCGCGCAGTGCGGCGGCATGGAGGGGTCCTGCTCTGGGTCCCTGTGCAAAGACGAGCCCTTTGAGGGGTATACGTGCAGCCAGGGCCTGAAGTGCTTCCGGCAAAACAGGTGAGAGCTGCGCCACTGCCAGTTTATACCACTGATATTGGCTGCTTGCTTTGCCTGTCAGCGCAAGCGCTGCGTTGCTTGATTGCTGTAGGTGTCTCCCACACTTTGAAGCAGTCAATATTGGTATGGGCACAGTTAGTGCCGAAGTGCAGGCATGCCTGCCGGCTTGCAAGACTTTCACAACCCCAAACCAGCCCAGAACTTCACGGTCACCAATCTTGACCCAAGTCACTGCAAACTCTGCACCCTTTCTTCCCAGGTACTTCTGGCAGTGCCTGGACGAAAACACCAAACTGGACTCGTCTTGGAGGGCCAAGCCCGGCCAACCCACGTCGGGCCTCAACGGCGCCACCTGCACGTCCTTGGCCCTCCTCAACCAGCAGTGCGGCGGCTTGGGCGGCGATTGCGCCAAGCTCGGCGGGTGCAGAGATGCACCCCTGGACGGTGCGTGCTGCGTTGAGGGCTCGTGCCGCAAGGTCGACTCCATGTGGTGGGAGTGCAGGCTCTGATAACAAACCGTCCCCCTTGCCGGTGCTCCTCAAGATCGTTGTTTTGAGGGAAGGGGCTCCAAGCAGTGGATTGTGAGTGCGATATCGACTTTCATCGATGAACGGCAAAAACACCGCAAATTTTTGGTCAGCAGGCAGTTTCTTGGCTGGCTTGGCTTGCAAGCCAAGTGAGCGCCTGTGGCGCGCAGGAGGAAGCATACGAGGGTTGTTCTTGCACACAACTGTGTCGCCGGCTGCATAGTGGTGCCGTGTCCTACTTTGGCAACCACTTTCCACACACACACACACACACCTGGCACACACACGCAATGCGATGCTACGTCCGTTTTCGCCGCAACGCGCCTGCTGTTTTTGAAGGTGCAGGCCACACATGCTCTTGCTGCCCTGTTCCTCCGATGGGGCGTAGAGCGTGTGCTGTCTGGACTCAGCCGCCGCAACACGCGCGCTGTTTACATGTATGTGCACCCAACACACCGTGATGATTCTCACGTGGTGATCACTGTCTTCAGGATCATACGCCTGCCACTGCCAGGCTGATTGTCAGGCGTTTTTGCACCACCAACATTCAGGCCCCCCTGGTGGAGCTTACAAATTGTAAAAGACTGCATATGGGTCCCATCTTTGTCACAACGTTGGGCTTGGGACTTGGTCCTCTTGCAACCCGTGAACAGCGGTCATTAATTGGGGTGTGAGCAGCCGTTACAGGTGTGGCCGCACGCAAAAGCACGAGCACCAACCGCACGTCACTGCTTCGGTGGCCGTGCCGCCTTCTCCTCGATTCCAGAGGTCCCAAACCGCTGCCGCAGCACGCGCATCACATCCTCCATAGGCACACCCTAGATTGTTAGAAAAGGAGACAGAGGTGTGCACGGGGCAGACGTGGTGAATGCTCATGCCTCACACAGGTGCCTGGGAGCGAACAGAGCCTTCCGCATACGTCAACAGGAAGTGTCGCCCCGCTTCCCCCAATCCCTCATCGTAAACTTGCAGCTGAAAAACGGGCAGCTGAGCGTCGACATCGGCAGTGCATTGTCCTTTCTGCTGACCCGACGACAGACCCCCCCCCAGGCACCCAGCGCGCCCGTGGCCTACGCCTCCCACTCACTACCGCCCGACTGGGCATCATGCAACTGTTCAGCCCCCGCGCGCATGCCCCCATGCCCCTTTTGCACCTCTCTGCCTACAACGTCAGCACCATGCACCACCTCGGCTTCCCCATGCATGACCCGCAGCGCACACCAGAACGGTCACCAGCACCATGCAACACCTCAGCTTCTCCATGCAAGCCTCCATGCAAGCCCCCACGCACACACCAGAACAGTCGGCAGCACTATGCGACGCCATGCAACGTGCAACCCCCACTTTCACCCATGCACCAGCCCCCAAATGTGCGCCGCACCTGCAGGTTCAGCAGCACCATGGAGTGGTACAGCAGGTCCGCCATCTCGCTGGCCGCGCGCTCCGCGCCCTCCCCCGCCTCCAGCGTCTCGCACAGCTCCCCGGCCTCCTCCCGCACCTTCTTGCACAGCAGCACAGGGTCCGCCAGCAGGCGCGCCGTCCAGGAGGGCTTGCCCTCTGGGGGGTGGGTGGGGTGGGCATGGTGTCGAGAGTCGAGGGCGCGTTCGCGGCGCCCATCATGGCAGCCAGCCATTTGCATGCGACGAGACCTTCTCCGCTTCACCATGGCGATCGCTAGAGCCAGGGGCGCGACCCCCTTCACCCCGCCGCCGCTCATGGCAGCGGTGCCGCCAGCAGCCCACCTTTCTGCTGCCCCATCTCGTCCCGCCGCTGCTGGATGGTGCGCTCGAGCGCATAAAGAGTGGTGGCAGGGCTGTGGGCCGCGTGGTGCTCGTGCTTTCCGCAGGTGCTGACGCCGCCGTCGTCGCCAACCTGCGCCTCGCTGAACCAGCAGGTCCTGCAGCGGCAGGTCGGCCGGGGGTGCAGGCGCGCACTCGTGGTGGGGCTGCTGCTTGGAGCCGAGAAGCAGAGTGTTCGTCAAGCAGCAATCGGGCGCAAATCGCAGGGCCCAAGAGGATTTTGGAGCGCCTGGAAAAACATGGTTTGGGCGACGGCATGGCAGGCGGCTGCTGTGCAGGCGACGGCATCGGCGGCCGTGCGACCGCCCCGCCGGTGCCATCGCGGAAACTCAACGGATGGCTGACCAGCGAACGCGCCCGCCCCTCACGAGCGCCGCAAGCCAAGCCTCCCCTTCTCACTTTGCGCCGGTGTGGCAGGCCGGGCCGATGGGGTCGCCGAGGTATATGATGGAGTCCTTGTCACAGTCGGCAAACACGCGCGACACCTTGATGAAATGGCCGGACGTCTCGCCCTTGCACCAGCGCTCGCGGCGGCTTCGGCTGTAAAAGGTGGCCAGCCTGCGGCCGCCGTGCGCCGTGGGGTCGGAAGGGCGGGCTGGTGCCGCAGGCGGCAGCGGCTGGCAATGGGAGGCAGCGCAGCTGCGAGACGCTGCTCGCAACCCAGTGTCCATGCCGCTTAGCGCGGGGCCGTGCCTTTCAAATATAAGGGGGGAAGGTCTGGCACCCTGAAGATGTGAGCTGTGACGTCTTGTTGCATCCGTTTGTTGCAGCTGTTGCGCCTTGTTGCAGCTGTCACGAGCGGCCTCGCCGCGACGCCCGCTCGCTTGCCTGCTGCTCACCCCGTCTGAAGCGTCTCGCATATCGCGTTGCGGTCCGAGTATGCCTGCATCAGCACCTCCCCGGTGTCCACGTGCTACATGACAGAGTGAATGGGCGAAGCAGCATCAAAAAGCGCAAAGCCGCGGGAACCCATCAGCATGCCAGCAGCAGCATCGGCTGTCGGGCGGCAAGCAGGGACGACCGGCCGCCAACCCCGCCGGCAATTTTGTCGCGATAGCTAAACGCACCTGGGCGATCACGGCCACCAGACCATCATTGTTCCACCTGAGGGAGTCTAAATAGGCTGACATGCCGGGGACCTCGCTCTCTGGCTTGACGGCTCGCTGCTCCACGGCCGCAGCGCAGGTCACCAGGGTTCTATAGCCCCTGTGCATCTTCCTGCACGGCCCATTGCTGCTGATGCGCGGAACAGATCGCCGTGGCGTCCGTCCCGAGCAACACGCGGTTCTGGGGTTGCGCAGCAGCATGATAAATACTGAGATGAATTTTTGTCTGACCACCTCGATCTGGAAGCCGTATATGCTACGTAAGCTGCGCCAACTGCAGTATCGGGATGTGCCGGTCAGAAGTTGGGCACCTGCGACGAAAGACGTTGTGGTTCATATAAAGATCTGATACAGAATCCACTAGAGCTTCCAATGGCTCGTTGCCACCACCAGCTTTCAAATCCGGCGATCTCCCAACAAGTCAGGCACTCCGTGTGTAGTAAACGCTCCTAGAACAGCCTTTGAATTGACTATCAAGTCGAGATCGCAGACAGCGTGGGACTCAGCAGCTGGCAGGGCACAAGCCGTGGTGCCGCGACATGCGGGAGTGCCACCGCGCCGTGCTGCTGATGGTGGCCATGCTGGCAAACCTAGCCAGGTGGGCCATACGCATCATAACATGCCTGCTATGACGAAGGTCTCTTGCCTGGCGAGACTCTGTCGTGCCATGCGCTGGCCCCTGGCCTTGTGGGCCCCGCTTAATGTCCCCTCCGACACCCATCCAGGGACGGCGCCGCCGCTCCAAGCGCTTCGGCCCAGCAGAGCGCCGACGGCGCTCGACAGCCCTGGATTGTCGTCTGGCGCCGCGGCGTCAATGGCATGCGGCTCTGGGAGCGGCTCTGCCCCAGCATGTCCCTGCCTGCGGACCCTGGTTCGCCACGCGCGGCGGATCCAGCCGCAGACACTGGCCTGGCGGGCGGGTTTGAGGCGCTCTGGGAGTCGGGCACACCACTGCCTGTGATCTCTTGCCAGTCGCGCTTCGACACTCTGCTCAACGGGTTTGCAGGTAGGCGGGTTGAGGGCCAGGGGCACGTACGCGTGGCTGACATGCGACAGCCCGATGCGCGCCGTGACATGCGGGCCGATCAATCAGCTTCTATGCGCCCGAACCCCCATCTCTCAAGCACTCCTCCGCATTCTCTTGTGGTGTTGCGCTCCAATGCTGCCCGTGCGACAGCCCGCCTGACTGTGAAGGAGCTGCAGGCCCTGCAGCTGCAGCTCAAGGAGCAGATCGATTACGTAATCAGCGACAAAACCCTCGGCCTGGGCGACGAGCTCCTCCCCGCTACGCCTGTTGCCGGCAGCGGCGCCGGGAGCAAGGCGGCGGCCTCCTCAGAAGGCAGCAGCGGCGACCACCCTCCACGCAGGCAGCTGCCGGAACAGCTCGATGCGCCGTGGGGCCTCGACGCCATAGATCAGAGCAGCCTGCCGCTTAACGGCAAGTATGACTACGAAAACATGGGTGCGTCATGGGCCCAGAGGCGTGCGGAGCCCACCCTTGCTCACGTGCTGCGGCTTGCACCGGGCGTCTGCAGCCGACACGCGCGTGGCCACCTCTCGCGGCCGCATCATCACGCGATGCTGCCCTTCGTCTGCAGTGAATGTCTGCATTGTCTTATCTGCAAAATATAGTCCTTGCGCCTTCCAGCCCCCAGCGCCGCCTTGCTCCTCGCGGGCCCACTGCCCAACCAGGCACCGGCGTCCACGTTTATGTCCTCGACACGGGCGTCCGCCCCACCCACCGCGAGTTCTTGTTCCCGCGGCCGGATGGCAGCGCCGACCCCGCCGCCGTCGGCCCAAGCGGCAAGCCCAGGACGCGCGTGACCGGCGGATTTGACGCCGTGTCCGACAGCGGCAGCGTTGCGGACTGCCACGGCCACGGCAGCCATGTGCGTTCCTGGGCCTGCTGCAAAGTCCCGACTGGTGTCAATTGGCGAAAGGAGCCACCAACGTGCATAATTGGGCCAATTTTTCTGTCGCGCACGGGCTTGCCCCGACCTGGCAGCCTCACTCCTGGGTCGGCCGATGTTCCTGACGTCACCCACACTGACAGGTCGCAGCCATTGTGGGCGGCCTGACGTATGGGGTCGCAAAGAACGTCTCAATTCACCCCGTGAGGGTGAGTCTCTTGGCCGCCTTGAAGAGGCCTAGGGGCCGCGCGCAGTTGTGCCGAATGTTTTGACGCGCCTTTTCCTGTGGGCGGCGACCGGCAGCTCTGCGGGCGGCGTCGTATTGTGAACGGTTGAAACCCGCTGCGGCGAGCTGTCCTTCCTCACGCGTGCGGCATCGCTGTACCCTGCCACCATCGCGCCAGGTATTGGACTGCAACGGGCGCGCCATGGTGTCGACGCTGCTCAAGGTGCGGGTGGGGCGAGTGCGTGGCAATGGGCTCCTGCCGCGCCACAAATGGCTGTGCTGATCCCTGTGCAATCATGACATGACCGTGCTGCACGCATGCACGTGTGCACGCGCGTGCACACACACGCACACACACACACACAAACACACACACACACACACACACACACACACACGCACGCACACACACGCACACACACACACACACAAACACGCACACAAAACACACAGAAAACACACACACCCAAAACCTCTCTTCTCTCAGGGCCTGGAATGGGTGGCGGCCAACCACGAGGTCCCCGGTGTGGTGCACATGAGCGTGGAGGGCTCCTACAGCTCCGTGGTCAACAGGGCCGTTGATCAGCTGGTCCGCAACCACAACCTGCACGTGGTGGTGTCCGCGGGTGAGGATGGTCTATGCGCGCCGCATGGCAGGCGCCAGCGACATGTGTCCAGTCAGGAGTGCATCATCTTATCGAGAAAATGGGCATCACAGCTTTCCAGCCGGGTCGAGCAAGGCAGCCTTTTTCCAGGCAACCCCTGAGGGCCGCGCCCTGTTTTCGCAGGCAACAGCGCCCGCGACGCCTGCTTGGCTTCCCCGGGCAGCACGCCGAGCGCAGTCACGGTTGCGGCCATAGACAGCAACCTGGCGCGCTGGGCCTTCTCCAACTGGTGAGGCTGGCCCTCCCATGGGGCTCTCAGGCCCTGAGGGTGCAGTCGGGCGCGGGGCTGCAAGTGTCTGCTTCAGACGCTAGCACGGGCGCTCGAGGGTCGCTGCCCGACCCCAGATGATGGTCAACCCCGGCTGTTGACACGTAGCGGAGTCCCTGGGAGCTGCAGCCGGCTTGATTCGTGCTTTTGGCACCGGTTGTTGTAAGTGCACCATCGCAGCCGCGGGCGAGCCTGCCATCCCGCCCCGAAACCTGCAGGGGTGCCTGCGTGGACGTGTTTGCGCCAGGGGCAAGCATCCTGTCCGCTGTCCCTGAGAGCGACACCAGCGTGGGCCTCAAGACCGGCACCTCCATGGCCGCACGTGCGCTGCGGCGGTTCAGATGGGGGGTGCTTCGACTTGGCTGACCACTGTTTGCTATTGGGCCGTCGTGGTTTTGCGCGATGAGATGAGAGGTGTGTTTAGCGATGTGCTGCCTCAGAGGTGGCAGCAGACGGCGCCCTGCGCCTTTGGCGCGGGGTTCAGGGTTTGCGGCATGTGGTGTAGCCCTGCCCTCATCCCTCTGCCCTTTCCTCCCCCGCAGCCTTTGTGACCGGCGTCGTCGCGCTCTACATTGAGCGCCACCCGGTGAGGCGCCCAGCCACGGCGCAGCGCGGCGCTGCTTGACCGCAGTCGCCCGTGCGCACATCCTGCTGTTGCAGCCGGTGCCCTCGCCGACCTCTTGAACCCTGCGCGCCCTCAGCCCCCCACCGAGGCGTCCGCACCCAAGGCACCCACCTCCCAAACAGCGCAGCCCCAGACCCCACCAGCCCAACCCAAACCAAACCCACCAAACATCTATGCCATGGCCAGGGCGCCTCCACCGCGGAGGTCGTCCAAAAGGTCTACGCCAGCGCCCTGCGGGGGGCGGTGACCGACGACCCCCTCGGCTACGGCACCCTCTTCCCCTCGGAGGGCTCCGGCCTGCCCGACCTCAGTGCCACCCCCAACCGCCTCCTGCAGTCCCGCATCGTGGAGCAGGCCGCGGTGGAGCCGGGCGTGCTGTCCGTGACGCCGTCGGACGCAGAGCCGCGGCCGGTCGCAGTGCGGCTGCTGGCGCGGCCGGCGGCGGCGGTGACGGTTTCAGCGAGCGCGGGCGTCGCGTGGGACGGCGCGCCGCTGGCGGACGTGCGGCCGGCGGCGGTGACGCTTGCGCCGGGCGACTGGGACGCAGGGGGCGGCGCGGCGGCGGCGGCGTTCACGGTCCACCCGCGGGCAGTCAGCGAGGGCGTCTATTTCATCCAGTTCACCTTCAAGTGCGTTCGCAGGGCTTAATGCAGGGGCTTGAGGGTGCTTGCAGGTTGAATATTTGTGTGGAGATTGCTGCAATTTGTCAGGGCTGAACAGCCCTTGGCGTGGTGTTGCTGGCGTGCAGCCCCACATGTCAAATTGCTTACGGCATCATGACACAGCCCCATAGTCCACCCCACGCCTCTGATGTTGACAAACCGTGCTGCGAGCTGGCTGGACTTCGTTTTGAGTCGGCGCCTCATCCCGCTGTTGTGTCCCTACAGCCAGCACCTCTTTCTGCCGACCCCCCCTCCCTTCGCAGGAGTGACGACCCCGCGCTCGACGGCGCACTGTACACGGCGCGCGTCGACGACACGCGCCCCCTCACCGGCGAGGCCGCGTCCAGCCCGCGTGTGGTGGGGGCGCTGCCGTTCAGCGACAAGGGGGACACGTCAAAGTTTCGGGACAACTACAGCTGCCAGGCGCAGGTGGGTGCGTTGCAGGGGGGATGGCTGTTTTTGGTGATGTTTGAAAGTGTGTGTGAGTGAGTGTGTGTGTATGTGTGTGTGTTTGTGTGGCACTCGTGCACATGCAACTTTCATACCGTATGCGTACATGCACGTATGCGAACATGCGTGCACATGCGCAGGCACACCATGCGGTAAGACATCATCAAGACATGATCAGGCGGCACCTGCACACAAACACCCACCTTCACCGCGCCCCCTCAGGACGCTGCACCGGACGTCGTCTACGCCCTCATGCCTGCCACAAACATGCAGGCACGTTGCGTACCCACCATGCACGCGCACCGCTCGTTTCCTTGCTTCGTGGCATGAGGCCTCCTTGTGAGCCGTATGCCCCCCCCCCCCGGGCGGCCTCTCACTCTGCCCCACCTCTCGTTGCCATTGCCACATGAAACCCCACTGCCCAGGTGACCATCAGCACCTGCGGCTCATCCTTCGACACGAAGCTGATCCTGGCCACAGACCTGGCCAACCTGGGAACATACGTGAGCAGCTGCCCCGTTCGAGAACCTGATGTGGTGCTGACGGCACCAGCACATAGTTGGCGGACGACTGCCCTGGCAGCTGGTGCTGAACGAGTGCGTTTTTGCTCTACAATCCGTGACATCAACTTGCTCCCTGGCATTGACGTGCGTCCCTCCTCGCCCTCCTGGTGTTTGACCGCCGCCGCCGCGCAGCTCTGCAACGATGACGACCGCTCCTGCTCCTACAGCTCCTCCAACTCGCGCCTTGACGCCTCCCTCAAGGTACAGGCAGGGGGGGGGGCAGAGGGCAGACGAGGTAGCTGGCGTGTTTGTGGAGTCCCCTTTCATCATGAGATCTGTTCTCGTGCGCCGCTCCACACCACCCTGAGTCCCTCCTCTACCCGCCCTTTGTAGAGCCGGCGCTGTTGGTTCCTTACGCACCTCTCCCGTGCCTTGACCCCTCTTGGCCCCCCAACTGCACTCGCAAATAGTACAGCAGCCCGAGCCATCCTGCCTGGCATTGGTCAGCCCCTTCTTTGCGCATAAGTGTTGTACAATACACAATGCACAACCCTTCGTGCCACAATCGGCCCTGCCCCAGGCCGGCACCACGCACTACGTTGTCGTGGACGGCTACTACCATGCCTCAGGAGAGTACGCCGTCTCAATAACCTGCAACGACTGCCGCGACGGCAACGCCACCCTCATCACACCTGAAAACGCCGTGGCCGATGTCCAGGCAGTTTCCGCGGGCGCCGACGGCGGCTCCACGCTGCGCCCTGGGGACGGTGCAGCGTCGCCTGCCGCTGCAGCATCAGCCGGCAGGCGTCGGCGTCTGGCGAGCCACACTTTGGGGGCCAACTTGCCAGAAGACCCTCTCTCTCAGGGCCGAGGCTCCTGCGCTGGGGGTGTCACTGCTGACGGCACTGGTGACGGCAGCACCCTTGCAACCAACAACGGCATCATCGACAGCAGCGGGGGCGAAGCGAGTCAGGCGTTCTCGGCAACCGGCAGGGGCGCGTGGGCCCAGCAGGGAGGGCCGGGAGGCTGCAGCGCAGGCAGCGCCCTCACGACGCAGGGCGCGCAGCATGGCGTCGACACGCCGGCTGTATTTGCTGTGGACGCCCAAGACACCGCCGCCGGGGGCGCTGGCGCCGGCGCCGCCGGCGGCATTCGCAATGAAACCTTGCCCTGAATAAACACAGGGTCCCTCACCCTGCTTATGGAGCAACAGCTGAAACGTATGCTGAAGACTTGGCGAAATGCTGTACTCAATGCCATCATTTCAAACAACAAGCACATCCCCTGACTTTAGGTCTTCACCCACAACGTCATCGCTCCGTGGAGCTACCAGGACCACATCCTTGCATGCGTGCATTCCCTTCTGAATCCCTCACACACTTCTGCATCTTATCAACTGTGTCCCTTCTGCTGTTCGTTCTTGCAGGCCGCCATGCATTTGTTTTCGACACAATTGCTGCAGCTTGTGTTCCCCCCAGATGAACCCACGTTCATGGTCTTGAAGCAGTGCACTGCAGGAGTGATGACCTGGCCGGCATGAACCTGCCTTGTAGCACTGCGTGATGTGTCATATACCGTACATCTACTCCTTTACTCCCCCCAACAAGTAAACAGGCACAGGCAACTCCAAAATGTACACATGAACAACCTGGGGTAGCTGCCAGTCTTTGTGCCGGTCAGCAGGCTGTGCCCCGGCGCGCTACCGCCCTGATACTGGCATGCCGCTGCGCCCTGTTGCTGCGGGAGCTGGGCCAGAGGTCGCTGTGTCGCTTTCGTCGCTGTCCTGGCGCTCCGTCAGCTCCCCAAGAAAGGGGCTGTCTGACACGCTGCGTTCCTGCTGCTGCTGCTGCTGCTGCTGCTGCTGCTGCTGCTGCTGCTGCTGCTGCTGCTGCTGCTTCGAAGTTGCAACACTGCCCAGAGCTTGTGGTCCCGCATTGTCGATTGGCATTTCCGACGCGGTTGCATCTTGGCCCTCAGCGAAGCCGACGGCGCCATTGTTGCTGGCTACACTCTCCTGCCGCGCCAGAGCTGCTTTGCGCGCCCCGCCGTCATTAATGGCGCCACTGCCTGCATCCGCCTGGCTGCTGGATGGAAGTGGCGCCTGCCCATGTGATTCGTGGTCCGTGGCGCCTCTTGCTGTTGTCGCAGCTGACAAGGGTGCACCAGCACGCACAGCAGCAACAACTTTGCGCCCATCCGCGGCGACTGTTGACTCAGCCGTAGACGGTCTAGCGAGCGAGCGCCGGGCACCATTGACACCAGTGGTGGTTTGCTGAGGACTGCGTGGCGCTGGGCTGCGCTTCTGTCTTCCGCTGTTTTCTCCACCACCCTGCTGCTGCTGCTGCTGCTGCTCGTGACCTCGCATACGGCGGTGACCGAGGGCCGCGTGACCGCTGCCGCTGGCTGTGGCGTACGGACTTGTAGCTGCAACGGCTCTGTGCGGGCTCTTGCTGGGTGCAACGCTGCCGCTGGCTGAAGGAGAGCCGCCGCCAGGAGCGCTGCTGTCAACCTCCATGTCTGCTGCATGCGAATCAGCAGTCCTGCCCCTGCCAGCAACCCGCCCTTGGGGAGCTTCGGCTGTCTGTCCTGGCAACACCCCTCGGCGGCCCCAGTCAGGGTTGTATTGCCTGCCAGCCACGCCCAGAGCCGCCCTCCCATCCTGGCCAGTGCCGCTGCTGCTGTTGAGGGTCAGCTGCCGCATCCGCTGCCCCAAGCGCTCGGCTATCTCGCTCTCCGCTGCTCCTGACCAGCTGTCGTTCCACACCGGCCGCTGCGGCAGCGGCTGCCGCGGCGGAGAGCTGGCCCGATGCGGCCTTGGCGGCAAATTGGCGCCGCGCCGCGCACTTTTGAGTGAAGCCGCGTAGGGGCCTGCCGCACCGCTGCTGCCCAGGCTCCCGGCTTTTGTGCCACCCTTTCCAAGGCCAGCAGCCGCGCTGATGGCGGGGCCTGCACGTGCGGCGGGCAGCGACCCCCTCCGTCCGGGCTGTCGACCCTGCTGCCTCGGCGTTGACGACTGCGACTGCAGAGGCGGCAGGGGCAATGATGAAGGCTGTGGCCAATAACCTTGCGCGCCAGACCCGACCGATGTGCTGGTCCTAGTTTTGGCTGCTGGGGAGTGCCTCGGCAGCAAGGGCAGCGATGAGCCCTGGCTGTGCCGCGCCGTCGCTCTTGAAGGAGACTGAGAACGCGGTGCGCTGCCCGAGTCGCTTTGGGAGAAAGCAGGGGGCCACGCGCCCGATTGCAGCCCCCGCGCCGCCTGCCGTCCGGCTTGCTGCTGAGGCTGCGGCTGCCGCTGCTCCACCAGCAGCCGCAGCTGCAGCTGGCTCCGCATCGCCCTCTCCGCCGCCAGCGCGCGCCGCGCGGCGCCGAGCTCCTCCTCAAGCTGAGCTATCAGCTCCGGGCCGGCGGCGGCGGCCGGCGGGGACGCGGCGCCATCGTCGCGCTCGCGTTGGCCGCTGGAGGGAGTCAGTACGCTGCTGCGGGAGCTCGTCAGCCGATCCTGTTGTTGCACGCGTGGTGGGTACAGCAGAAGGTTTATGGCTGGACGCTGCGTGCGAGCGGTGTGCATCTGCACCCTTGCAGGCGGGGGCGGCGCGGGCAAGTGTGGTGCGGTCGGAGGCCGCAAGGAGGACAGACCTGGGCGAGGGCGATGCCTCCTCGCTGCCCTGCTGACGGGCTGCCGGGCGGCCCCCCGGCCGCGGCGCTCGTGCCCAGCAGGGAAGACAGCAGGCCCCTGAGTCGCTGGATTTCTCTCTCCTTCAGAGCCAGCATAGTCTGGGGGTCGTTGCACCTGAAAGGGGTATGGCATGGTGTGAGGCCGTGGAAGTTTCTTTGTCCAGGTATGCACTGTAGGTCTTAAAAGCAGGTGGTACTCGCCGGCACCCTGGTCAACAGGGTGAACGTAGGCAGAGCCGCCCTAAGCCATGCAGATTGATCATCATAAGCCCCTCTACCTGATAATGATTTGCGACAGACCTGTTGATGTGTGGCCTGTTCAAGATGTTGCGGGCGCGGTCTGCAAAGCGCAGCGTTGCCAGGGACTCGTCCACGGCGTCGGCGGTGGGCGGCAGCGTCACGAGGAGGGTGGTGAAGGAGTTGCCGCCAAGAGAGTCCTGCAGGAGGTATGTCAGCTTGGAATCCCTGCACGCAGCGCATTGGGGTCCAATAAGCTGGGAGATGATTGGCCTGAATGTTGTCCGCCCGTGTCACGCTGCCTTTGGGGTCGAACATTCGTGTAGGCATGAGGTGTGTGTGGTACAAACAAAGCGCGCCATGAGACTGCAGCTGGCAACACACGCTTTATTGAAGCAATCAGCGCACCTGTAAGGGATGTGCTTGGCTGGGGCGCCGCTGGTCAGCGCCGACACGACGAGCGCTAGGGCCGACAAGCTTGTATTGATGCCGGTCAGCTCGCTGATCAGCCCCTTGCCAGCCGCTCCCACAGCGCCGGTGTGCCGCGACCCCCAACGCTCTGAGCCAGCGAGGTCCACAAAAGTGAGCTTTGACCGCAGCAGGGACGCCGCCGGTCCCTGCTGGCGGTCACTCCTGCCCGCCGTTTGGCCTGCAGCGCCACCGCCGGCGCCGCCACTGGCGCTGATGCCAACCATTGGCGACCCCGCTCCCGCCCGGCCGTCACCGCCTGCCCTGCCGCCGTCCCCATCCGACGGCCCCCGCTGCTCCAACCAGAGCTGGAGCACCGTGTGCGAGCGGCTGGAGTGGGCATTGAAGTCTGTCGCACGCGTCGCGCGGTTCCGGCCGCCGGCGTCGATGATGGCGAAGACGTCCTGCCAGCCGTGGACCTCCGCATGGATCGCGGATGGGACGCAAACACCCGCGCCTGGTGCCTCCCTGACCTCCAACGGCGACTTGTGCTGCAGCGCGAGGGGATCTCTGCATGCCAAGTGGGGCAAGGTAGAGCAAGTTGGCCTGCTTCGACAAACAAACAATGCACCAGGGTTTGCAAGCCCCCACGCAAAATCAAGGCCAAACATTCAAGTGATTCCAGTCACAGCATCAGACAGCTTGGCCCATGCGCTCACTTGGAGGGTTTGAACGGCTGCAGGAGGTCAAATATGTTGTTGTTGGAGATTTCGAGGTAGGTGCATAGGATTCTTGTGCTGCCGAGTGAATCGCATGCACATACGTTGCCGCTGCCACTGCCAGAGCTGCCGTCTGCACATTGCCCCCCTCTGTTGCGAGCCTCGAGCTCTGAGAACAGGTCATGGATGGCGCGGGGCATAACGCCATGCGGCGAGCCCGCGCAGGGCGCCCCAGCAGCCGCCAGGGCAAGGTCTGGCGGTCCCAGCATGCTGTAGGTCTTGCCACTGCCAGTCTGGCCGTAGGCAAGTAGAGTGTAGTTGAAGCCATCCAAGACGGCCCGGACACACCCTGTATTGGTAAATGCGCAGCTGTGGTTAGGGCACTGCGTCACGACTGGCAGCGGCGCCTCGAGTTGTTGAACACTGTCATCCGCTAGTTGGGACGCTTGTCAAACAGTAGCGGCTCACCGTTGTGCTGTTCGTACACGGCGTCGTTGCTGGCGGTTTCATCAAACACGTGGTCAAAGCAGTCACTGGTGTAGGCCTGCTTGGGTCCAGAGATCCGCACTGCAGCTGTGCCCTGCGGCCATGCGACCGCGGCAGGATGAACCCGGCACCCCTTTGGCAGGTGGTTGATAACCAGGAGCCGCAACCTGCTGTTGTGACAGGCTCCCGATGAGTAGGGAAGCTGCCACTGCTGCCCACAAACTACCAAGAGCGGCACACTCAGCCTGCCACCGTGCGGCCAGCATGCATGCATTCATACGCATGCAAGCAGAGTGGCCAACCAATGCACACCTGCTGCCCTTGCACAGTGTTTGAGGTGAGGTCTTAACACTGCAGCTGCCCTCACCTGCACTTCAACGACCTGGTCGTACTGATATTCACGTTGCACTGCTGGCCGCACTCTCACAAGCACTCGTACGCTCCTCTGCTGCTCGTGCGGCATTGCCATGGAGGCACACACGCACGTGCTGCAGCCGTGTGCAAATGTGCGCTGCACCGCTCTCCGCGCGATTGCGCCGCCTGCCACGGAGTCAGTCAAGTCGTTTCATAATTCCTCAATCGCCTTGATGCATTCAAGAAGCGAAGCTGCTCGGGCAGCAATGCCGATTGCGGCACACCGGGATGCAAGTTGACCGCGATACTGTACCTGTTACATGCACAAGATAATGATTTAAGTGACAACAAGTACTTGTGATTGCGATGAACTTGAATAATTCGTCGTAACCGCCCGCGTAGAAGCCTGCCAATGAGCCAAATGAAGCAGCACGCAGAGGGCCAAGCTACTGATGGAAAATCTATGGAATTATTATCAGAATCACTCCCATCTACCAAGCACCGCGAGGTCGAGGAGCCCGGCCGGGCGCTGCGGCGACGTGCCGCAGACCCGCCGCGCCCGGTGCTGCCGAAGTCGCATGGGCCCCGCACCTGGAAGGGAACGGCGCGGGAGCGCGACCCGCTGGCCTCATCCCTCACAGGTGGGTGAGCCACGCCACTGCCCTGGTAGCTCACCGCCAAACACCATATGAAAGCAGCCCTGCTGACGCGGGGGCGTCTGCTCATGTGCATACGCATGGCGGCGACGCCCGCGCAGGCAGCGGGCGCGCGGGGAAGCCTGGGCGCCTGCTGGGGAGCAGCAACAGTGTGTACGAGGGGGACGTCCTGGCGGGCAGGCCGCACGGCTGGGGCCGCTACTACGCTCTGGTGAGCTGCCGCGCTGCTTCCAGCTGTGCAGCGTCTGCACAGCTGCGTTGGGACGGAAGGGAGTGGCTAGGCGCTCAGGATGCAGCAACGCCCATGGGAACTGCGTACCATGATGGCGCTGCAAAATAAACGTCGTGGGATCCAGGCAGCCTTGCACCAGTGCCTGTCCTGCGAGGTGTGTTGCACTCAAATGCCACCTCCCCACCCTGCAGGGTCCCGACCCAAAGCAGGGACTGCTGTTACAAGTGGGTGCAATCATGCTTGCTGCGGCCGACGTCTCGGCCTTGACGTGCGAGCAGCCGCTCGTTTGCTGCCAAGATGCAGAACAGCGTGTGCGCCTGCCGCACGCAACCCAGCCCCACTTGCCTGCGCTATCTCACGTGAACACATGCTGCCTGTCTCTAGTGTGCCTCTTCCTTTTCATCACCTATTTGCCTGGCCCAAATCAGTATGAGGGCGAGTTCTACAAGGGGGAGCGCCAGGGTCAGGGCACCTGCCACTACCACGCTGCCAAAGAGGCTTATGTTGGCCAGTGGGCCGCGGGCCGCCGCGACGGCCAGGGGCGTCAGCAGTATGCAAACGGCGACTCCTACGACGGCGCGTGGCGCGCTGATCGGCGGCACGGGCAGGGGCGCCTGAGCGTCGCGGCGAGCGGGGACATGTTCATTGGCAACTTTGTGGGCGACAAGCGGCAAGGGCTTGGAGTGCGGTACCTTGTCTGCAAGGGTGAGTCAGGGGAGGGTTGGATCTTGGGGATGTGAGCAGCCCGACGGAAGCGCGCAAACCCCAGCAGAGACACATGGTGGTCAAGCCCCACTCCTGGGTCCATCTGACGCTATCACTGGACACCATGCGCATGCCGCACTTCGCCATGCAAGCGGATTGCTTGTCCTCAATTTCCTGCTAACAACCTTACCTTGATAATCAATTCAAGGCAAAAAGTATGTGGCAGAGTGGGTGGACGACAAGCCGGTCTGCGGCACAGTGCTGGCACTGGACAGCGCCGACCTCGAGCCGCCCTCTGCTCACGGGCTTGCAGAAGCTCTCGCGCGCGAGGCGGCGCGGCGGCAGCTGTCCAAGGGCGGCGCCGGCCCGACAGGCGCAGATTCAAACGGCAGCCCGGCGCCGCTGCCCGTGATATACCTTTCGCAGCCGAGCAAGGTGCTGGCGCGCGAATTCGTGGCCGTCCGCGCGGCGCGCGAGGCGCGGGCCGCGCGCCCGCCGCCGCCCACCGCGCTCCCAGGCGCGGCGCTGCAGGCTGCCGCGGCGGGCGGGGACGCGACGCTTGCGGCGCAGCAGGTGGAGCTGCTGCGGCACGCGTTCACGCTCATGGCCGGCGACGACGGCCGCCGCGCGCGGCTGCTGCCGCGGCAGCTGCCGGAGCTGGCCGTGCTGGCCGGCCTCGACCCAGCGGCGCGGCCCACGGTGGCGCTGCTGGACCAGGTCAGGACGAGGTGCCGTTCTGACGCGGCGGGCGGTGTCTCGCTGGACGCCCTGCTGCATGCGGCGGTGCACTTCAGGATGCAGCCGCTGGCGCCCGCGGCGGAGAGCGGTGCAGGGCCGGAGAGCCAGGGGGGCGCCGGGGGCGGCGGGCTGCTGAGCCTGCATGACATTCAGGAGGGCGACGCAGGCGGCGGCGGCGGCGCAGCAGAGGGGCCGGCATGCAGCGCGCGCAGCTGCGGCGATTGGGCGGCGGGCGGCCCAGTGTCTGACAGGACGGGGACTGACGGCGAGGTGTGCGAGGGGGTACAGCAGGGCGCTGCAAGTCAGGTGGCAACTGTTGGCAGCGCAGGCATCCAGGAGGGAGCGGCGCCGCAGCACGAGACGGCCGCCACAGAGCCGGCAGAGGAGCAGTGGGCGCCGGCGCCCCTGGATGTGGAGGGGCGTGAGGCAGACGACTCCGGTAGTGACGAGGCGAGCACAATGGTTCAGGGCCAGGAGGAGGAAGCGGTGCCTCTGCAGGAGTATGTGAGCGCCGCAGCCGCAGAGGAGGGTGCGCTGCCGCCAGCAGCAGGGGCGCAAGTTGGGGCGGACGGGAACACGGCAGCTGGCGCCGATGTCGCAGCACTGGGAGCACCTGTTCCTGCGGATGAGCTTGTCAGCAATTCACAGGAGCATAGCCAGCAGCAGCTGAGAGTCGCGCGCGGCGGCGCGGGCGAGGAGCGGGCGCAGCAGCCGTGGGAGGGTGCAACACGCGGCGAGCAAGACAAGGAGGGTGAGCGCGCAGGAGGACAGGCGGTTGCAGCGACAGAGAGAGCGGCTGAGGTGGACGAGGCAGCGGAGGCGGAATTTCAGGCAGTCGGATCAGGGGAGGAGGGCAAGGAGGCGAGCAGGATGGAAGATGGAGGAGGACATACGCGGAGAGATTGCGGCGGATGTGCTTGACGCTGAGGCTGCCGTTAAGGGCGCCGGGATGGTTGAAGGCGCGGTGGAGCCCCAGCCGCTGGAGCATATGGTTGAGGACGAGTGATGTGGTTGCTGCCAGCAGGTGTCACTGGAAATCGTGATTAACTCATGCTCTGCACCTGACAATATGGCGTTGACTAGGGCGGGGCCGAGGCAGGTGCAAAGTGCCGGCGCAGGGTTGCATTATAGCCGTCAAGCTCAAGGGCACCGGTGACTGCAGCCAAAATGCAGCAAAATGCCCACCGCTCATAGGCGACGAGTGGGCGCCAAGCCGTGGCCAAAAATCAACCAGCCAGCCGGTGCCAACGTTGCCGCGACATGAGTAAGACAAAGAAGAGGAGAGGCGGCCTGCAAGCATCGTCCAAAGTAGCATCAGCAGTGGCAATTTGCTGCCAATCCTTCAAGATATCTTTTGAGTCGCCACACCGTCAAACTTGGGCTATGCACATGCCTGTCCAATGGGCACACACGGGCGGGGCAGCATACAACATCGATCAAAGCCAAACGAAAGTCTCGTGTCAACCTGCATCCCTACACATCCCCATGCCAACAAGCGGAGTGCGGCCCTTCTAGCCAGCTGACGCGCAAAGTCACCAACTACAGGGGCCAGCCGGCGGGTCAGTCCTCTGACATCTCCTGGTGCAGCGCCCTCTTGGCCAGATCGCTCATCTGGCCGGCCGCCTCCTCGGTCCGCCCGACCTCGTCCCCGCCCATCACCACCCGCATCCTCGGCTCCGCGCCTGCGCCGGCCTGCTGGGCGGCGCCTCGTCCCCCCTCGGCCACAGGCTCGGGGCTGGGGCGCCCGGGCCTGAGGCCGCCCTTGATTTGGGCGGTGCGCAGGGCGGCCCTGATGGGGGCCGTCATCCCAGGATGATGATGATAAGTTACTCATACCATAGCATCCCAGGCTCCTCCTCGTCGTAGCCGCCCACCTGGGGGGGGTCGAGACAGGGTTGGAGATGCGTCATGACGATTTTCGTGCCATGAAACACAGTGTTTTGTTTGTTCAAACTGGGTTGCGGCAGACCGACAACACGCAACCTACCGGCTGGCATCACCAGCACATATGCAGAAAATGGGAGTTGCGTTCAGCGGAGCGCGCCCTGTCTTGTTGCGCGCTTGGCTCACATTGGCCATTATCTCGTCCTCCTCCATTTCGCCCATCACGGCAGCCCGCTCTGCCTCATTGCGCTCGTCCGCGCGCTGATTGCTCGCACGCTCGTCGCGGCGCAGCGCCGCAGTCGTGCACGGAAGCGGCAAGTGCGCTGGCTTGAACGTGACAAGATGCGTGTGAATAGGCTTGACAAACGGAAGAGACCTTGGCAGGGTCTGCGAGGCCAGCATGATTGCTTGCGTTCCGAAGGTTTGGGTGCGAGACTTTCCGGCACAACGGCAATGGCGCGATTCAACTGTTATAGAGACACTTGGACTCCCTTTTATGTCAGGGGCACGGCTCTCGTGCATTCTCACTGACCTGCTGATGATGTCCTGTTGCATCAGCTCAAGCTCGAGCTGCAGCAAAGCAAGCAGTGACAGGGCGCTGACGAGCCTCGAAGCTGCAGGCACCGTCGAGCATGTGAGCCATGCCTGTATATTTGACAAACACAGCGAGGCAGCAGCGACCAAGGGGCGGTGCTGCCGCTAGCAGACACCCACGCAACCAGACGAGAGGCAGGCAGATGCCAAATGTTAGGAGCAACGAGGGCAGTCAAGGGCAAACACGGCAGCTCAGAAGCGGACCTGCACCTGCACTTCTCATTAACCAAAATGCTGTTAATAGAGACCAGCCATTTGGGGCGCACTTATCACCCCTTGCTGCCTCCTGCCGCCTCGAGACTGTGGTGTCAGCTTGAGGCTTGACTTACGTAGTTGTTGAGCAACCGGAGTTTGAACCCACGGCAGTGAGTAACAGCACTGACAGCACCAGAAAACAGCAAAGATTCTAAGAACAGGCTCAGGTGCCTGGACCTCAGCCCCGCGACAGGATTGGTCGCGGCTGCAGGGTAAGTCTATTATTCCCCAAACATCTGCACTCTGGCGTGCAACCAAAAAACACGCCCGTTGACCAGCATGCGCGATTGGCATACCACAGGCCATGTGTGGCCCCATCAAAAAGCCTGAGAACAGTGCTCTCGTGGAAACCGGGTGTGTGTGTGTGCAAACTCAGGCGTCGAACTGTGACTCTCACACTTCCCCTCCCCGCCTGCGGCAAGACGCAAGATGCGAGTGCCGGGACCGCGTAGCAGCTCTCCCACACAATATTCTGTTTGAGGAACCTAAGCCTCAAAGGGTTTGCGCCCGTATGCTTATCCACACCCTATCGTGCCGCCCCCTAGAATTGTGACCCAAACTCCCGTGACGGCGCGAGCCGCCGGCCAGACCGATCATGGGCTGCAAGGGGTGCATCTTGCACGACCCTTGTTTAAGCCTTGGTGTACCTCCTCGCCCAGAGGTGGTGTTCCCCCTTCACCCCCACGGACTGCCGCCTAAAAGTCCACGTCCAGGTCCTCCGCGCGCTGCGCCGCGCGCTCGGCAACCGGGTTGCTCGTCAGGCCAGAGCCGACGTCGACGCCGCCGCCGCCGTACCCGCCTGAGGTGGCCGCCGAGCCGCCTAGGCCGGCAACGCCGTCGGCCTCGCCGCAGCCGCGCGCGGCATCGCCCTCGCCCCCGCCCTTGCCGTCGTCGGCGGGCCGCGGGCCGCGGCCAGCGCCGGGCCGCAGGCCGCCCTTGACTTCAGCGGGGGCGGTGCGCAGGGTGGCCTTGATCGGGGCGTTCATGCCGGGCTCCTCCTCGTCGTAGCCGACCACCTGGGGTGAGGGGTTGATGTGTTTTAGGGGGAATGTGGAGATGTGAACAGTGCTGAGAGTGGAGCTAAGGGCGTGTGTCAATGCGCGCTCTTGAACATTTGAGGGAGGTCATCACGAAGCCAGGCGGCCCCAACCAGCAGCGGCTGTCGACGACGGACGGGTTGCGGGGCCCTCCTCGCATGCACGGCCAGCTCACATTTGCAAGCGTGTCTTCCTCATAAGTGTCGGCCATCACGCTGGCGGCCGGCTCGTCCTTGCCGATGCTGTCCGCGCCGCGATCGTCGCCGTCGGCGTGATCGCGGCCCGACGCCGCCGCGGCCAGGCGGGGGAGAGGCGCCAGAGCAGGCCTTGTAGCTATGAAACGGGCATGACTCGGCTTTGGTGTGCCCTTACCGACCGGGCGAGACGCTGGCAGCGATCGCGCGACAAACATGTTGCGAGTCCGTCACTGGTTGGTGGAAGGGCTGTTTGCGCAATAATGATTTTGTGAGGATGCTGAAGTGTGATCTGCGTCCACCACAGCTGGTACCTTGCCATGCCAGCTGATGTCACTCACGCAGAGCGGGCGCGCTGATGTCACCCTGCCAGCTAGGACTGCGCGCTTGAGCTGCGCAACGCGGGCAGATGGCCAATGTTGATGCCCTTTGTGTGGGGTTTGAGCATAACACATCAAATTCTCTGCAGGCAGGCAAGTTTGCGGATCACACCCCTGCTGCTTGGCAGCGCCCCTCACCGGCTGCTACTTGCAGGCGGCCGAGGCATCTGAGGCGGGAGAGGCAGTCGAGAACGAGGCCTGCATGGCGGCCCAGAGCCCGTACCGGCGTCGCAGTCGGGTAAATGGACGCTGATCGAGGGGCCGGCACCTGACCCGGGAAGGGCCGGGGGACAGGAGGAGCAGGGCTGCGGGTCTGCGCACCGACTGCGCGCGGCAGCGGCGGCGCCGCCAACGGCGGTGTCCTTGTGCCCCGTGTTGTGCAGCGCCGTTGCCCCTCCACACCCGCGCTGCGGCGCAGCAGAACCATCGCTACGAGGACGAGCAGCCACGCTCTGCTGCCGCTGCACGTCGGCGGTCTATACAGCCGCCGGACCTTGGGAGGGGCCCCCACGAGCTGTCACAGCTGCGCTTTGTTGGCTTGGGGTCCTCGCCGGCCCTGGTCGCCAGCCTGCAGTTCGTTGCTCCCAGCAAGACACATCCCAGAAAGGCATGCTTGCGCGCGCAAGCATCCCCTCGGCCGCTGGGTTTTCCAGGCCAGCAAGCCCCTACGACAGGGGGCGCCGCACTACCGTCCCCGTTGAACCCCGCCTGCCAGGCGGGCAGTGCCCGATTATCATCCCATGCGTTGATGGCGTTTCTGCAGCGTGCTGCCCTCTGCTTCTGTTCTGCGCTCCTAGACTTTGCATAACAGCACGCCCCACCACAGCCTCTTTTCTTGTTGAGGTTGCACCTGTGTTGGATGCGCGTCGCAGGCCCGGCACGGGCTGTCAGACCGGCAGGAGCCCCTGCAAGCCGCAATGCACATGCAAAGCAGCGGTTGTGTGAAAAGCGGCGGTATAGTCCGCCGCAGTAACCAGAGCACGGCTGCAGATTCCTGACAAATAAGTCATGGTTGCGGCGCAACTAGATGGAAGAGAGCGCGTGCGGCAATTGACGCGCAAAGCAGCCACAAAAAGCACATCATGGATTAGGATTAGGATTGTTACAAGATCCCGCGGTCGCCCGCTCCTGGAGCCATCCAGGCTTATGGGATATGACTTGGTAGCATCAACATTGTGTGACAGGGATTCAAGGGGCCACGGTTCGCCGTTCGTGGTGCTCACCGCTGAGCCGTGGGTAAGCATGCAGGGAGGGAGTGTCCCTCAACAACACACATGCAGTGGAGGTCAGGGATGCGAGAGCGTGGGGAAAGGGTCATTCGCTGCGTGCCCATGCCTGCAAAGGGTGTTGCTTGTCAGCCAGCAGGCGAGCGGGCAGCGCCTGCGGCTCGACAAGCTGGCGGGTCTGGCTGGGAGGCGGGCGCTGCCCCCAGGTCCCGCCCACACCCCCTTACAAACTTCTTAGGAGCAGTTTCACCATTCGGGGCCCACCACAAGTGCCACTGCAGCCTGCTCTGCTTCCACCTGGAGCACTCTGACGTGTTGCGAGGCCTGCAGGCTTGCAAACACCGGGCTGGCCTCAAGCACCTCCAACGCGCCCCTGCTGATGCCAGATAAGTAGAGCGTGTGCAGGCCGCCGAGCCAGGGCGCAGACATGAGGTGCGCCGCGACCCCGGCCGACATGACGGGCTTGCATTGCATGTAAAATTCCCGCAGCGGCCCGAGGGGTGCGGCGGCCAGCGCCTGCCACGCTGCCCCCTTGCGGTGGAAGCGGCCATCAACGGAATCCAAAACGAGGCAGGTCAGCTGCGGCGCCCAGCAGGCGAGCGCCACTGACGCTAAGGTTGTGTCTGTGTGCCCGCATTCACTTATTGACAGGGTGCGCAACGATGCCAGAGGCGCGCAGGCGATCGCCGCCAGCGAGGCGTCCCCATTCGCCAAGCTAGTCTTGTGCTGCATTAGGTGCAGCTCCTGCAGGCCGCCTGCCAGCCCCTCGGCTGCAAGCAGCGCCGCCACGCCGCATGCTGTCAGCGCGACTGCTGGCCGCACCCCCGAGTTCACAGACAGATCCAGCACACGCAGCGACGGCAGAGCCAGCTGGCCGAGGGCCGCCGCTGCGGCGTCACTGAAATGATCACAGCGAAACTCCAAATGCGTCAAGCAGGGCGCGCCGCAGCCTGCAAGGTCGTTAAAGGTGGGCGGCTCCGCGCAGTCAATGGAGAGCGACCGCAGCCTGCCGAACCAGGGGGCGCACACCACCGCCCGCATGCCGGTTATGACGCGGCCGCCCGCGTCAGAGGTGAGTTGGCCGAAGCCGCGGCTGTTGGTAAGTTTCAGCCGCACAAGGCTCGGCATCTCAAGCGCCGCCAGGGCGCAGAGCTCTGGCAGGGCAACATGGCTGAGGGACAGCTCCTGTCGCCGGGGGGCGGGCGGCGGAGCAGAGCGCGCTGGTTGCAGGCGCCAAGCGCCGTGAGCAGCAGCTGCACCGCACTACCAGGGTTCCACCCGCGAGCATGCATCGAGGAGGAGACAAAACCATCCACACAATAACACAAGAACATGCAATCCGCATCGCCCCAGCCCACCTGTAACAGCTGCCAAGCCCCCAGGCGCAGCGCCGCGTCAAAGCGCCTGAACGGCATGCCGGCAGCGATTTCATCGCCTTCGAGGATGCACAGGCGCTCCAGCAAAGGCAGACGCGCCGCAGCAGCAACATATGCTGCGTTGGCGGCCGCGTCGCTCCCCTCAGCGTGGGCACGGACCGTAGCCAAGAGGGTTGTCAGGCGCGGCAGCGCCTTTGGCAGCCGCAGCCCCACCAGATCAAGCTGCCCGCTGGTGCCCTCATGGGTGTGTTCAAAAGTGTCGATGTGGCAGTGCTGCCCCAGGCTAGGGAGCGCCGCAGCGAGTGCGGCGACATCAGCTGCGCAGTGAGTCATGACGCTGAGCTCGCACAGCGCAGCCAGACGGGGCGCAGCGGCGGCGAGGTCGGCGATGTTCGCTGCACACTCGACTTAGACGTGCTGCAGGCAGCCGTCGCTGAATTCCCTCGCCGCGCGGCTGGTCAGCCGCAGGGCTTGCATGGCATCCGAATCCAGCAAGCGCAGCACGTGCTCCCCGACCTCGCGGGCCAGCGCAGGCGATGCGCCAAACGGCCATAGCGGCGCTGCCTGGTTGGGAGCCAAACGCTGGTCCAAGTAATCTACGGCGTTCTTCTCGGTATTTGCCATGCCTCTGAATGCTAGGCGTTCTGATCTTGTGATCACGCGCTGCTCTATGCTTCACACGGCAAGTGGACAGTTTATTAGTGATTGGTTTTCAGAAATGGACAATCAACCCGTGCAGATGGTCAAAAGACGCATTTGAACAAATTCAAATGTTTGAATGCTGCACAGCAATGGTTCAGGTTGAGCCATGCAATGCGATGGCGACTGAGGAGCACCACAAAGTGCAGCGCAGACGACATGAAAGCCTGCGCACATGCACACACGTGCTTTTGCTGCTCTACCGCTGTTGCGTTGCCTGTCGTGGGGGCGGGGGTCACATCCTCACCATGCCGCAACGCAACCGTGAGCCGATTGACACACGGGCATGGCGAGTCCACCGGCGTTCGAAGTGCCTGCGAGCCAGCGTATGCCGCTGACAATGATTCAAGCGTGCGCAGAAAGAGCCGTGTTCATAGCGTAGGTTGCTGAAACGGCCATTTGCCCTGTCGTGCAGTGCCGCCGGGCCTGGGCACCTGCGCGACACTTGCCGTCAAGTCCCCTCCCGGAGGCGCACGCCGCACGGGCGCGGCCCAGGCCGCGGGAGCCATCTCGCACCCACCACAACGCAATCGACTGCCCCATAGCCATGGATGCGCCGCCCACAGGCCCCCGCGCGCCCCATCGCTGGCAATCACTCTCCCCCTTGCCGCTTGGACAAAGTCACTGTTTATGTCTGTTACAGGGGGGCCGAGTGTGTTTCGTGTCTCAGCCAAAGCCGGGAGCAATGGCGCGCGGCAAGGCCCTTGTTGCCAACCACACCGCTCACCGACAAGCCGGCTGCATGGTGCATCGCATCGCGCGGCCCACCTTGCGCGCCGAGAAAAAACAAGGGAGCAGCCGCGACGGGTGGCAGCGCAAGCCGATGAGAAAAGACGACAGAAGGGATCCACCGCGGTCAGAAACAAAGGTATGCACAGGGAAAGAGGAAAGACGCACAACAGGCACAAGTCAGGCTGGAAGTAACAGATCTAAAAAAGGGCCAACAGCGGAGGCGGCTCCAAAACCCATCCGAGTGCAGGAGCTGCGGTGGCAGCAGCGGCCCGCCGCCGCCGACAGCCGCCCCTCCGGCCTCGACCTTCTAGTTCTTGGCCTTCTCAGCGCTGGGCTCCTCCGCCGCCCGCGTCTTCTCCTTCTTTTCCTAGGGGGACAGCAAAGGAGCGAGGGGCGCGGGGCGGGCGTGAGAAAGAAGGTGCGGCCTGGCGGGCCAGGCGTGGCGCAGTCGTGCTGTGCAACCCAGGCTACCGGCAAGCAAGATGCTGGCTGTACGGGTGCAGGCGGAGCTGCCTCCTGCGAAAGGGGGACGGTGCCCACCTTCTTCTCCTTCTTCTCCTGCAAACATGGGCAGGAAGGCAAGACGCAGGGGAGCGGCCGCCGT